GTTTTGCAATGTTTGGTAATAACAGCAGCATATAACATGTTTTGCAATGTTTTGCATACAATATAACATGTTTTGGTAATAACAGCAGCAATAATATAACATGTTCTGGTAATAACAGTATGTTTTGGTAATAACAGCAGCAATGTTTGGTAATGTTTTGGTAATAACAGCAGCAATGTTTTGGTAATAACAACATCAATGTTTTGGTAATAACAGCAGCAATGTTTGGTAATGTTTTGGTAATAACAGCAGCAATGTTTTGGTAATAACAACAACAATGTTTTGGTAATAACAGCAACAATGTTTGGTAATGTTTTGGTAATAACAACAACAATGTTTTGGTAATAACAACAACAATGTTTTGGTAATAACAGCAGCAATGTTTTGGTAATAACAGCGCAATAATATTAACATGTTTTGGTAATAACAGCAACAATGTTTGGTAATAACAGCAGCAATAATATAACATGTTTTGGTAATAACAGCAGCATATATTATGTCACAATTTCAATTTACAATTTCAAATTATAAACTTGTTCATAACACATAAACTGTTGATGACAACAACAATAAAATGTAATAGACTTGTTCCAAAACAACAACAGTACAATACATAAACTTGTTCTAGGTAACTAAACATGTTCCACAACTTAGAGTTTCTTCTTTGGCGTGGTCCTCTTTGTTGGAGTAGACCTCCTTGTTACTGGGCCAACAACATTCTTCGCCACACTCATCCTAGTTGTAGGGCCAGGTGGCACAAAAGGTCTTGTTGGCTTCTTCATTGATGGCCCTCATTCCCTTCATCTCTTTTTCCCATGACTGTGGGTATGTTGATTTGGCAGCCTTCCATATTATGTCCTTCAACATCTTTCCAGGAAACTTTTTTCTAAAATTGTTATAAAGGTTTCTAACACAAAACCTGTGCTCCACCCTTGGCAATAACTCATCCATGGTAGGTAGCAGACCCTGCACATATAACAGTAGCAACACATATTAACAGCAGCACATATATAGCTAACTAATAATGGACACAGCAGCAGCACATAACAACAGCAACACATAAATTAATGATATATTGTTAGTGAGCTAATGTACATAACAACAGCAGCACATATAAAATTTAAAGGTAACTATATCACATATAACAGCAGCAACACATATAACAGCAACACATCCAAAGCTACATATATCAGCACATATATCAGCCACCAAAAATTAATGATATATTGTTAGTGAGCTAATGTACATAACAACAGCAGCACAGATAAAATTTAAAGGTAATACTTGATAATATCTAATTGCTTCTCTTAACATCAAAGATTGAACAAGTTTGATGCAGATCTGTCTTGGATAAAGTTATAACCAGTGTGTGTGGGACTGGCTTTTAAATGTTTTATTCCCTTAGTTTCCACGTGCATGCCTCCTAATCTTAATAGTACCAAATAAAATACCTGAAACTTTTTATTTGATTGTTTGTCTTTTAGGAATATCGTCTTACTAGATTAAATGAGCATGTTAACTTTGTAATTTGTCATTGTGACATTAAGCGCCACAGTTGCGGTTTCAAAATTTCGCCTACACTTTCTAGTCCTGATGTGGCATTTGTTTCCTCACATGCACCTCAGATGTGAGGACATGTTTGTGTTATCATTATTACATTTCAATTAAATGATTCAATTATTTCAGAGACTATTACTGAGACATATTTTAAGTTCAATCGTTAAATTATTAGTATGTAGGACTTACATTTGCACTAGAGGAGTCGAAAACACTCTTGGATAGAGTAAGATTAATGAAATGTGTACCCAATGATTAGTTTCTTGAACTTGGCAATACACATCTCATGAGCAAAGAGAGAGCTTTAACATTCTCGAGTTGCACATATTCAAACTTTCTTTCAATAAAGAGATTAAGGGACTAAAGTCATACGGTGATAAATAAAAACTGTTACAATACCAACATTTTCTACTGCCTCTGTTTAGATACACCAAATGACACAGCCTTAATCATCATTTTATTTTACATATAAAACTCTACTTATTATAACCAGATGGATTCATACATTCACAGATCGATAAATTGAATGGATAATTACGATACAAATTCATGCACTTTTACCGCCGCTGGTATATGTACATATATATTAGAGCTGTGAAAATCAAGATTAACAAAATATGGCATACATACCACTGCGTCTCACATTAAAAAAACTTACATACTACACTTGTTCCTGCTGTACTGTAGGAACTGGTGCACATATAATTATAAGGAAATATCTGAAATTTAAAGGAAATAACAGCAGCACATTCAAATTTAAAGGTACATATATAGCACACATATCAACATATATAGCACATATAATTATAAGGAAATATCTGAATAATAGTAGCAGCACATATAGCTAACTATATCACATATAACAGCAGCAACACATATAACATTTAAAGGTAACTATATCACATATAATAGCAGCAGCACATATAGCTAACTATATCACATATAACAGTAGCAGCACATATAACAGTCTAAGATACATATAACAGTCTGAGACACTTGGATGCATATTTCATAATACATATAACAGTCTGAGACACTTGGATGCATATTTCATAATACATATAACAGTCTGAGATGAGAAACAGTATGAGATGATATTTCATAATACCTATAACAGTCTGACATGAAAAACCCTAAATATGTCTGAACCTCACCAGAAAAACCCTAAATCAGAGAGATGAACTAACCTTTCGAGATTGGCTCTTGAATCGTCTGCTTCTCTTCAATCGTTTTCGTTTTCTTCTTCGTTTTCTTCTTCGTTTTCTGCTTCGTTTTCTGCTCTTGAATCGTGCTTTTCTTGAATCGTTTGCTGTCAGTTCGTTTTCTCTTTTCTTCTTCGTTTTCTTTCAGTGTTTTCTTCTTTGCCCTCTTCACTTCCACCTCACTTCCACCTCAACACTCCATTCCACCTCAGCACTCCACATGGCAAGTTTTTCAAAAACTAACTAACAGCAACTAACGGAAGGATAAACGTGACACAATTTTAAAAGTTAAAGGATCAATTTGGCACTTTTTAAAGATAAGGGACCAAAATGGACCCCGAGCTAAAGTTAAGGGACCAAAAAGGTTATTTTGCCTTTTTTTTAAGTATTAAAATTAACATTTTTTGTTTATGTTAAAATTAAATTTTAAAGATTAAAAATTAAAACATGTTAGAAGTTAAAACTTTTTTTTAAACTAGAACTTTCTTTAAAATTAAAAACTAACATTCTTTTAAAGTAAAACTAACGAGTTTTTTTTAAATGTAAACTTCTTCTTTTAAACAAAACTTATGATTAGAGCTTCTTTTTTTTAATTTAAGACTTTCTCTTTTAAAAATTAAAATTAAAACTTTTCTTTTTAAATTAAGATTAAAACTTTCTAAAGATAAAAAGTTAAAACTAAAGTTTTGTTTATCTAAAAATTAAAACCTTTTAAAATTAAGACTAAAATTTTAATAAAAACAAAATATAAAAATTAACAAAACAATAATAAAAATTCCAAATTGCATTTTCGTGTTTCTTTTAATATAAACTGTGTTTGCCATATTTCCGTCTAACTTTTCACTAATGTTCTCTGTTTCTCTCCTCAGATTATACATAGATTCCGATTCATATTTATTTCAATTTATTTTGTTCCATGGATGTAATTCACGCGAGGCATGGTCGCGGTTTTATTTTATCTTTCTTTTTTTGGGATTTGTAATTTACGCGAGTGATAGTCGCGGCGCCTTCTTTACTTTCTGCATTTTAATTTCTGCCATATAATATCTTGCCATGTTTGCATAATTTACCGTTAAAACCCTCCGAAGGAATTAGGTTTAGTCATTTGACCGCCGAGTCAATAACCCTAATTTTTGACCATTTCAAACCCTAATGGTCTAGGTGTTCCGCCGTAGACGAAAACGCCATTTACCCTAACTTTAGGTCAAAGAGTCGTCGTACTCTGTTTAGGGTTTCCCGCCGTGGAATCCCTAACTTAACCCTAATTTCATTTAACTCCTATTACTTTAAAAGAATGTTTGTTTTAAAATTTTAAAGAAAGTTCTAGTTTAAAAAAAAGTTTTAACCCTTTCTAACATGTTTTAATTTTTAATCTTTAAAATTTAATTTTAACATAAACAAAAAATATTAATTTTAATACTTAAAAAAAAAAGGTTTTAATTTTAGGAGTGGGTTAATTTTAAGTTAGTAAAAATATTTTTACTTAATTATAAAAATGTTTTAAATACTGTTTATTTATTTAAAAAAAATTGTTAGTGGTTAGTGTTTTAATTAAGAAAAAATTTTAAATTTTTATTTACTGTAATTATAACCAAAAACTGGTTTTAGTTATAATTCACAAAAAAGGTTTTTTTAGTTAGAATAAAAAAATGGTTTAAAAAATGAAATGGAGGTTTAATTATTTAGAAGAGGTTTTAATTGGGATAACAGAAAAGGTAGGACAATTGTAACATTTTATTCATTCGAAATAAAGTGGTACTAGAAACCATGTAAAGGTAGGACAAATTTGAGGTGCAACAAAAAGGATATCAGCACTTGAAATTACCACTTGAAACTTCAACTGAAAATTAAAGTTTATATTTTAAAATAAAAATTATTTGTTTAGATTAAAATAATAATAGAATAAACAGAAATGAAACAAATTGAGTCTATCTAGGTTGTAAAGTGTTTGTTTACGTGGCTGTTTAGTGTCTACTAGTATATGACATGATAAATTTTGTTGTGCAGGTTATTATGTTTTGTTTATTTGGTAATCTTTTTAGTGGTTGTAATTCTATTTCACTAAATCGGTACATCTTCTGCTTCGGATTCAGTTACATTAATCTATTTAGCCGTATAAAAATATAAAATTATTGTTTTGGTGGTCAGTGTTTTTTTAACAATACAAAAGCATTGATGTTAATGGAGGAACATGGTTGCGTTGCATTACCCTTTTGATTTTGATTTCAATTGAATACCAAAATGTGTACCCTTGTTCTACCACCTGCTCCTCCTTCCCCTAAAGACGATGCCATGCAACTTCACCGTGCTTTCAAAGGTATCTCATTTTCCACCTTTCTTTCTTTCCCTATGTATCCCCCTATACAACTCTATATTCTCTTTATGCATTCCTTTCATAGGTTTTACTCTATATTCTCTTTATGCATTCCTTTCATAGGTTTTACTCTATATTCTCTTTATGCATTCCTTTCATAGGTTTTACTCTATATTCTCTTTATGCATTCCTTTCATAGGTTTTAGGTGTGATACAAGTACTGTCATCAATATACTTGCTCACAGGGATGCTACTCAGCGTGCCTCTCTACAGCATGAATACACGTCTATGTATTCTCACGACCTTCTCAAACGAATTTCTTCCAAGCTTTCTGGCAGGTTGGAGAATGCACTTCTACTTTGGATGCATTGCCCTGCTGGACGCGACGCCGTCATTCTTAAGCAGACTCTAACCGTCAACAAAAACCTTGAAGCTGCCACTGAAATTATATGTTCCCGAACTCCATCCCAACTACAATGTTTAAGGCACATTTACTATAATAAATTCAGCATTTATCTTGAACGTGATATTCAAACAAATACCTCTAGCTATCATAAAAAGGTCACAATTATATACCATGCTTTCTTGTATGCTACAACTGTTCATGCTTTTCAAATATTCATAACTGTTATGGGATTATCAGAGTTATATATTCATATGATATCTATGATAAGTCTTTTGAGGGAAACCTTGTTTGTCATACATTTCCATTGGTTGTAAAATTCCTGCCCCATTTCACCATTTCCGAGATATTCAAACAACATAGCCGTTGTTATTAATAAGCTTATGCAAAGTTATTGTCCAGATTTTACTAGCATATGTAAGCACACCGCGCCACGAAAGCCCTGAGGTTGATAAAGAAATGGCTGAGAACGATGCAGTGGTTCTGTACAAAGCTGGTGAGAAGAGACTGGGAACGGATGGGAAAACTTTCGTGCGAATAATCAGTGAACGGAGTGCGGCACAGTTGGCTACGATAAATCAGTTTTATCGTAGCAAGTATGGACATTCACTGAAAAAGGTAATCTAACCTCCCTTTTTTATACCCTTAAGCATTGTCTTCGTCTATATCATGCCTGAATTCATTTCAGGCAATAAAGAAACAAACATCAGGGAGTTTTGGCCGTGCACTTTTGACAATAGTTCAATGTGCCGAGAATCCTGCCAAGTATTTTGCAAAGGTATTCCCTTGGACATTCATTTACAAATTCTTTTTCGTTCTCTGACAGTTCTTCACCTTAAACATTAAGGATAACTGGTGCAGCATAAGATGCATGTGTTAGACTTAATGTTAAAATAGTTTCACTTAAAGATCTGTTAGTATTTGGTTGTGTTAAAGCATAGAGGGAACCTTTTAAAATTTCTTAAGGTCGTGTTAAAGCATAGAGGGAACCTTTTAAAATTTCTTAAGTTTTGGCACTATCTATGCAGGTCTTACGTAGAGGAATGAAAGGTTTAGGGAGGGATGACAAGAGACTTACAAGGGTGATTGTAACAAGGTGTGAGATTGATCTACATTATATCAAAGCCGAATATTTATATAAATACAAGAAGACGCTGAATGATGCAGTTCACTCGAAAACATCTGGCCACTACAGGGCGTTTCTGCTCTCACTTTTAAATCCCTTCCAGTAGTAGTCAAAATGTATGTTTTGTGTGGAATAATTTCACTTTCACATAGGATGTTGAATATATAATAAGCACTTCCAATCTTTTCTTTACTGATATTGTAAATTAGGCCGTGCTTGGTGATTTTATTTGCTTGTAAGTTGTACCATAATGCACGGGCACTTTGTATATATATATATATGTGTGTGTATGTATATATGTATGTATCTCTCGGTGTTGTTATGTTTTGTTTCCATAGCAAACAATGATGATTTGATACCTCTGCATTCTTTTGGGTTGATGATCAATTACAGTTCAACAATTAGCTAAGCCACTTTATAGCTGTATATTTAAGGTTGTAACAATACATTTGATGATAGGAATATTATAATAAAATATGTTCTGTTTAAGAGAGGCTCCGAATATTTGTAAGTAGATAGAGTATATTTTATGGTTGTTTGTTCCACATGCAGAGCAATTGCGTACTTGAAGTTATAACTTGATGAGCCAACATTTGTTGATTAACACAACACAACAGAATCAACGGTGGTCCATGCAGTTGATTTTCTGACAAAATCCTGTCACAGTATTTTCAAATTTTTGCTATTTGTCTTGCTGATTGAGTATCAGTTTGTGTCATAAAGGTAATAAAAATATTTTATATTAAATTAAATATATTTTTTTGACAGCTATATTAAATGAGTAGTATTAGACAGTAATGATAATTTTGGTAATGTGATGTTGAGTTGTTGAGGAGAAATTGGAAGTGGTGTACATCTGTTATCCTTTGTTACATATATTTGTTATTAAGACATCAAGTTACGGTCACTTGTTTGTCTGTTCTATTCTTGATAAAATAAGACATCCATCCATCCTTTTTCTTCACAACACCATTGACTTTCGGTTCAGCTGAATGAGAAATGAATTCCTATTAAGCTCCCGTCTCTGTCTTAATGTTACTTTTGTGGTGGAATGAATTCTATAACAAGTAAGTTATTATTTAACGTGCAGCTGTGAATTAAGATGGGGAACCTGTAAGAAATAAGAAACAAATTATTACTAGTTAGCGATATGTACGTTATCACTTTCTCACATTGCTTCAGTTATACATACTCCTAGTATTGTATTGTATTGCATTACGTAGCTAGCAAGGTAGAAGTTGCAAGGAAGCTGCATGGGATGGGACCCACTGACACGCCATTGTTTGTTTGCGTCCACGTACCTACTACTACAAGCTAGTTCCATTGGTTTATATTCTTGCTTACCTTCAACTCCTATTGGCTATAATTATTTTTCTTCATTTTCTTATATATGTATATGGATGATTTACTACAAGTATCCTACAATACAAATACTTGTATCATGTTATCCAACTCACCTCTCTATATATATAACTAGTGTTCCGGTGTCTCTTATTAGCACTGCACACAAACACAGCATAACATGTGTGGTTTAGGAGGAACAACTAGCCTAAGCCCCTTCTGGCTATGGATTTCTGCATTCGTCAGTGTTATTGTTGCTGTAAGTGTGGCATCAGCCGAGCTCCAACGCTTTGACCACCCTTCCGCTAAAGCAGATGCCTCTCTCCGCTTCCTCGTCATTGGAGACTGGGGAAGGAATGGAACCTACAACCAATCTCATGTTGCTTTTCAGGTCTCTTTCTCTTTTGTTTTGCTTTATGCATTCCACTCTTGACAGGTTACTTAGACCATCTCCAACGGTGGTTCTTCAAATTGGTTTGTCAATTTGGCATTGAAATTGTCAACAAAAAGTTGTTCCAGCTGGTGAACGTTCCTTGCATAAGCAATGGTTCTTCATTTTTTTTATTATTAAAATAATTATTTAACTTGTTAGTTTTATTATTTTTTTTTAACTTTTTTTATTTATTATAAATATAAGTTTGTTGCAAAAATTTATAACAATCCTATTTTCTCTCACTTTTATTTACTATTTAATTTTAAATTTCTTTCTCACAATTTCATCATTTTATTCATAAATTATTATTTTCAATTTTATGTTTAATTTTAATTTTATGTTTAGTTTATATTTATAGTAATTAAAATTTAAATATTTAAATTATAATTTTAAATAAAATAAATTTAATATAAATAATATATTTAAGTAAAGTAGTGAGACCCAATATGGGTTCTTTGAAATTGCACCATTGGAGTGAAAATTGAATAAGTTGTTTTAGAAGAGTGGGTCCCACAAAGAACCTAAAAATGGGTTGCACCATTGGAGGTGCTCTTACAACCATTTTTATTATTTAGATGGGAAGAGTGGCTGACGAGTTACACGTTGACTTTGTGGTATCAACCGGAGATAACTTCTATGATGATGGATTGACCGGTATACATGACCCTGCGTTTCAATATTCCTTCTCAGATATCTACACTGCCAACAGCCTTCAAAAGCAATGGTATAATGGTCAGTGAGTAACTTCTGACTCTGCTAGCAACCAATACATAAATATATTCTGACTCTGCATGATCCGTTTGCTATAGTCTTGGGCAACCATGACTACAGGGGGGATGTTGAAGCTCAATTAAATCCAATTCTTCAGAATATTGATCACAGATGGTTTTGCCAAAGATCTTTTATTGTTCGCACCGGTAGTAATTCATTCATCTGACATGTCAATTCAATATATGAACCAACCTCTGCATAATCATTAATTAACAGTTCTTCAAATCTTAAAACTTGCTAGAAATCGCGGAGTTCTTCTTCGTCGATACAACTCCTTTTGTGGACAAGTACTTTTTGAAGCCAAAGGATCACAAGTATGATTGGAGAGGTGTACTTCCAAGGAAGAAGTATTTATCAAACCTCTTGAAGGTAAGTCTCCTCATCACAGAAACCGTAAAGATAAAAGGGTGATTTACGGGTGATGTAATAATCCTTTGTGTTTAATTCCAAACAAAGGATCTGGAAACAGCATTAAAGGATTCTACTGCCAAGTGGAAAATTGTTGTGGGACATCATCCTGTACGGAGCATAGGGCATCACGGCGACACCAAAGAGCTTTTAACACACCTCCTACCAATCCTTGAGGTCAGTACACATTATATGTAGCTAAAGTTGCACTAAAATTAAGAAAACAGTGTCCTAGTTATTTTAGAGATAAGGTATATCATCCTTCATTTACAGATTTAAAAATGAAATTTGCAGGCCAACAATGTTGATATGTACATGAATGGGCACGACCATTGCTTGGAACACATAAGTAGCACCAGCAGGTCTGTGCATTAACTTAATTAACTTGGCTATGTTTGTTTGTTTATTGAATCACTAATCACCTTGATGAAATTGAGTGGTTTTGCAGTCAAATAGAGTTCTTAACTAGTGGTGGAGGTTCAAAGGCATGGAAAGGGGACGTTGATAAAACTGGGGGATACGGAGTCAAATTTTACTACGATGGCCAAGGATTTATGTCTGTTGAGCTTGACCAAATGAATGCCAAAGTAGTCTATTATGATGTTTTTGGCAAAGTTTTGCATGTTGTGAATCTGTCCAAGGGATTCAATTATGCAACATAAATTAGGCTGTCATATCCACATCTAGATATTCTAAGGAGGTTTCTAATCTAAATAAGTTGGGGAAATCTGTGAAATCAGACCTTTTTAATAATGCTATTAACAAGCTTAATTATGAATTATGTATGTATATATATTATACAATTGCAGCCTCAACTGGAAGCATTGAAAACTTCCATTCCAAATAGCATCTGGGATCAGTCTAAGGAGTAAGGACGTATCACACAGCGTAACCAACTCCTGTTATTGATGCAGCTGAAGAGTGAAGACTCTAGGATATTGGGACATATAATTATATTATATAGCATCTGTTCATTAGAACTGTGATTTCATCCAAAATTACTGTCAGATTACTAGACATGTTTTTTTTTTTTTGGCAATGCAGTCTTTTATATGAAACTAGTTAATCTAATGCTCCCGGAAGTCGTGTTACAGTATTGGTTGCAGTGTGACTTTTTTTTTTCCTGTATCAACTACTTGTTTAATATCAGTTTAACAGATGTACATATATATATATGTGTTGCTTCAAGCTACTGAAAACTTCAGGTCTTTTACCCAAAAATAGCTGTTATTTTGGAAAAAAATTGTTCTCAACCAAATCAACTAGCTTTTATCATAAAATATACTGTATAATAATTTCATAGCAAAGAAAAACCAAAATAATTAGTTTCCAGTTCATTTTTTAAAAAACTTGCAAGTTTTATAGTCTGAAAAAGGGGAAGGTAGAGTGAGGGAAAAGAAAATAGGAAATGATGTTTTTACCCAAAAACAAGCAATGCAAGGGTACAAATACAATATAATTTGTAGGGATACATTCAACGACCAATAATACTATCGATCTTATATAAACTACAAATCAACACTATCGTTCTTATATAAACTACAAATCAACACTATCGTTCTTATATAAACTACAAATCAACGGATCTGTGCAAATGTGCTAGTGTTTTACTAGTTTAACCATGACCTGTGCAAATGCACTAGTGTTTTACTAGTTTAACCATGACCTGTGCAAATGCGCTAGTGTTTTACTAGTATAACCATGACCTGTGCAAATGCACTAGTGTTTTACTAGTTTAATCATGACCGCTATAGAGATTTGTTACTGCTAAAAAAGATAAAGAAAATAAGCAACGATCGAAGAAGAAAATAACTTTCCCTTCATTGGTTAAATCTAGAGTCACAAACACTATATAGTATTTACATATCTAATAATCAACAACAGTTGGACCTTTAACGGCAAGCTACATAAACTAGTATCCTATTGGTCAGTACTGAGTACCAACACACTAAAACGATGCCACGGCGGGACATACTCAATTTAAGACAAAATGGTACCTAGAATCCACGTAGCCCTCAACATCCCATAGAAAACAACCAAAAGTGACAGCTTCTAAAACGAGTCTCCTTAAACCACCAAAGCTAATTTTGATGTTTTCATCATTGGAATGATCAACTGCCCCCTCCCGTGTTATAACCATTTCAGGTCTTCCAAACAATGCCTCTGTGTGCTTCTCAATGATGCTCACAGCCTCTTTAGACCTTATTGTTGCATATCTCTGAAGGGTATCTCCATCAAAGGACATGACATAATTACGCAACCTGGTGGGCTTTATACCATACCCAAATCCACCAGGACTGACATCGCCTCCAGGCCAGGTAGATACTTCAGGATGAGAAGTGCCGACTTGACTACCAGGTCTTACATCCTCCATAATAGTCTGATGATCACTAGTATCTTGTGTTGCATTTGAAAGAACTTTGACAGACTTCTCCAGCTGGAACCTTTCATCAACTCGTTTAAGAAAGTAACCATACATGACTGACGCTGCATAGACCTGGCCTACCCTGAGTTTACTGATTTGAGCAACAGATGATAAATTTCCTGCTCTGTTGCCCAAAATGAGAGCCAAGTGGTTTTGGATCATCTCATATGCTTCTTGAGAGTGAAGCTTCTCAAGTTTGGCAACTTCATTGGACCATGAATCTAGTGTAGCAGATGGATCTGCAGTTAGAGAGGGTATCAAAGAAATATTAGCATCCATAAACTTTTGCACAACCAATGTGTACAAGATCTCTTCCAAGGCCGTCCTCCTTTCATTCGCCTTGACCTCAGCAATTCTCCTAGAATGATTCAGAATTTAGGTGTAAGATAAAAGGTATGTTATAAGAACAAGTAAAGAATATGGAGGTTGAGGGAAGAAACCTGTACAAAACAAGATCGGTGGAGGTTGTAGAAGGAGGATCTGAGTTTTGTTGATCGGCCTGGCGATCAGATTGGAGTTGGTTGAGCTGCTGATCGACGGCAGCAGGCACAAGATGAGGGTGATTGATCAAAATCTGAGAAAGAAACTGTCCGATTGGGGACTGAAAGTGAAGAGGTGCAATTTTGTTGTTGTTAGAAGAGTCTGGAGAGGAGGAGGAGGAGGATGTTGCTGCTCTAACTGCGAATCCTCCTCTTGCTGTTCTTGTGGTTGAAATTCCAAGGGAGAGACTCCGATGGGTATGAACTTGTCTGGAAGTGCATAGCTGCTGGTAATTAGCAAGGAAGGGCAAAGAGGAAGTGCATAGCTGCTGGTAATTAGCAAGGAAGGGCAAAGAAACATGAATGAATGAAGAATGTGTTTTGTCTGTGCATGCAAATTCATATATACAAAATTTGAAAGGAAAAGCATTAATTGAAAGACAGGATGAAATGATAGATACCTTAGAAGAAGGAAATGGAAGAAGGCGAGATCTTGGAACGAAGATTGAGACGCCGGTGGCTGCAACGTCCATAATGCAAGGAAGGAAGAAAGGTTGTGGGATTGGATTAGATAGGTGAAGACGCATTCTATTTCTCCACTGCCCCAAACCCCACTTATATGCCTTCTCTTCTCTCCTACTTTTTTATTTTGCTCTTTCATCCTCCACTTTATTTTTTTCATTTTAGTCCTCATCATTCAACTTACCATTTCAATTAAATATCATACATTTAATATATTTTTTAATCTCTTAATTTAATTTAATGTTTTTTTTAATCTATTAACTAAAAAAATGTTACAAGGTAGTTTCTTAATTTTACTTTTGAAATTTAATTTAATCTTTTTTTGTCAACTTCTAATTAAAAAACTTAAGTTTTGACGACGTGGAGTTATAGCAAAACCATTAATACAAATTTAAGTCTGCATATATAGTTAAAAACTCATATATTGTTTAAACTGTATGGTTCTCCCAAAAATAAAACCCCCTCAATTTAAATAGTATATGAGTTTTTAACTATATATGCTGATTTAGATTTTTACCAATAATTTTTCTGTCACGTCACGCTATTAAAACTCAACGCTTCTACGGAAGAAAATAAATAGGATATCAAAATTGAAGTTAAAAGATTAATTCGTAATATATTTTAGTTAAGAAACAAAATGAAATATTAAATTAAGTTAAAGAATTTAATAACTAATTATACAACTATCATATTTTACACTCTCAAACAAATTAATTAAATATAATATAATAAAACCGAGAGAATCACAATTTTACTAAATTATTCTTATAGATAATTTTTGTATTCTAATTATCATTAATTTAAAATAAATAAAAATAGTAAATCAAAATTATTAATTGGAGGATACAGTTGAATGAAAAAAATTAAAATTATATTAGAAATTAAAAGTGATACTTATTTTAGAACAAATTTCTTGTACAAATATGACATTTATTTTAGACGGAGACAAGACAATATATAAACATTTAAATTTAAAAGGAAATAAACCTTTTAAAAAAGACAAATTAAATATATTTTTTTATAAAATCATTCCTAATTTTTAAGGGAATGTAATCATGTAATGAAATAGAATTAATGGTGAGACTTATTTTAGAAAAAAAGCATAAGTATTCTTTTTTTCTATTACTGAGTGATATAAAATATGACATATTTGTAATTGCTTTAGTGTAAGAATTTTATTGATTTTTTAGCTATAAAGACACCATAATAGATTTAGAAAAAACGTGTAGAACTAAAAGTGAATATAATTTTATTCAAAGTTTTGACCATGATCTATCTTTTAAAATCTCTATGTTCTATGAAAAACATAAAATTTAGCATGTAGGGATGATTTCCACCAAAGGGGTCCAACAAATGCAAGAACAAAATGTAGGGATAATATATTTTGTTTTTGTGGGAGATATGAATGGTATCTACAAGGTGAGACTCTTATAGTGTAGGGGCAGAACTCGATTCTTTGACCTCCGATAATTGAACCAAAAATTTATACTCCGAAGAGAAGAGATATGTATCAGTGTTTAAGATTATTTTGGCTTTGCCTCCATTGATGAGCTTTGGCAGATGTTGGTAGTTGAGATATCTCTGTGGGTTCCACAAAGGTAAGAGAATTGTTTGTCAGACAGGAGCTGACTACCAGGCAGGAACTGGGTTTTAAAATGACTTTCCATACGGGAACTGGACTTTGAAAGAGTTTTCCAGACGAGAACCAAACTTTGAAATGATTGGCCAAACGAGAATTGTCTACCAGACGGGAACTAGCTTTTACAATGATTGGCCAGACGGAAATTGGATTTTCAAAAGGATTGACCAAACAAGAATTGGCTACCAGACAGAAACGAGATTTTGTAATGATTGGCCTGACGAGAACTGACTACCAAACAGAAACTGAATTTTAAAATGTTTTTTCAGACGGGAATTGGAATTTAAAGTGTTTGCCCAGTGGGAATCAGACTTTGAAGTGATTGGTCAGGTGGGAACTGACTATTGAAGTGTTTTCCAGACGGAAACTAGACTTTGAAATGTTTTGCCAAACGAGAACTGGGCTTTGAAAAGGTGTCAACCGAGGTTGGACTTTGAGGAATTTGCTGGGAATTTGTTTGGGTAATGTTCTCTTCGGAGGTACATTATTATCTTAATCGTAGATTGATCTGCGCCTTCGAGAAAGACTTGAATCTGGTTTATGCTAAGTATGCATGTTTTGAATTTGTATGGAGTAATGCTCCATCTTGACAGATATGTTACGTGTTTTAGTGATGTAATGTTATGCAGTCAAGAAGATTCAAAGTCCTTCATAGGTTTGGTGTGTATGTGTTACTAGATTGCATATGTTAGAAGATTGTATGATAGTTTTGGTGTGAAGTTGTACAAAGATATAACATAGTGAAAATACTACGCGGAGTGTGGAGGGACTGAACTACCCTTATTTAAAAAGGGGAACTAGGATAAATCCCGTATTTTTTACATTACTTCACTTTTATTTTTCAGCACTATCATTCATAAGTTCATCGTTATTCTTCCAAAAAAATAAAGAATCATAACATCTGCAAAATAACAAAAAAATTATTAGAACCTAATTCACCCCTCTTAGGTTGCACTTTATAGTTCCACCTAGTACATTTGAAATAACCATGATGTGTTTCATTTAATGCAATTAAAAGGAATGAGGATGATATAATTGTTTTGATCCAATGACAGAAGGCATGACTAAAACCAAAAATTTGAACACATTGAAAAGAAAATTCCAACTTATGGTGTCAAAGACCTTAGAAATATATACTTTATATGTTACATAAATGTGTGTGTTAATCAAGGAACATATTGCTCATATGATGTATTAATAAACATGGAGGCACGGTGTGATATAGGGATGGATAGATTTGTACTGCTTGATTAAAATCAATTGATTCTTTTTTTTTTGTGCAAAGACATCATGTCGGATCGGGTGTTGAGTTGATCCATTTTCTTAATTTGGGTAGCATATGGTTGTTTTGGTCGGGCTCTGATGATTATTTTAGATTTGTCAAAAATCAAACCCAATCGAATCCAACTAATATTTATTTTATTTATTTTTATTACTATATAACTGAACCATTATAAAAATTGAATTAATAATGTTGTCAGGTTATTACCATTTTTGTTTTAAAAAATGATGATATTGCGTACTCAAAAGAATACAAGGAGATGCAATTTGGGGTGGTAAACGGGTATGCCCGCTCCATTTAGTGCTGCCCTGCACAAGCTTGCAAAAAATGGGATGGGGAGGGTGGATATAATTTAGGATGTGGCCCTAAAACCTAGGCCCGTCCCGCCAAAAGGTGAGGGCAGGACGGGGAAAGCTCGCTTGCACTACACCTTTTAAGTCTAAAAACGCAAAATTTTATGTAAATGTCTGCGTCCGCAAAAGTCCACGAGAAAAATGGAACGGGACAGGGCTGACACATTAAAGGGTGAGGGTTTTAACCCTTGGCCCGCCCCGCATTAAAGTGCGGTCAAAACGGGCATGCCTAACGGACTAGACCCGTTTTGCCACCCCTAGATGCAATATAAAATTTTGAGTGTTATTTAATTTATGATTTAAAGTATAATAATGACCAATTAATGTCAAAGGATATTGAAAATGTTATCACTTAATAATATATTTTTTTCAATAATATAGGCTATTCTAAAATTTTAATAGTATTTTTTTAATTAAAAAATGAACATTTGTGAGTTTTGTAAAAATGAGTCAATTTTATGGATTTAATCCAATAAATATTAAATTGATCAAATCCATCTGACCTACCCGCCAAAATGATGTAACCATTTCGTCGAAAATTAAAATTTCATCAATCGAAATTGGATATTTAGAAAGAAACTACAATTTGTATCGAATTTAAGTTTTGAGTCTGATATTGACACAAACCAACCGATTGTCCATATGCAATCTAGTGTATTTGATGATATGAGTCTTACTAGGACATTGGCTAATGACTCTAAAAGTCAAACTTTATTTTGGAAAAACATAATATTTTTATTTTAAAAAATTAATTGCATTATTTGATGAATATTTTAAAGGGTAATGTTAATTTGTCCTAAGAGCATGTTAAAAAATCTATAAATAAAAAATTTGTGTTGAATTAGACTTTTGTTTTAAAAATTATACGTTAATTTGATTAAAATTTTATAATTATTTTTTATTTTATTTTTTAAACACAAACTTATCATTTATAGTTTCTTAACGTTTGCTCAGGACATAAGTTAGCAATATCTTACTTTTATAGTTTAATATGTACGATAAGAGTTTATTTGAGAGTTTGTTGCTTAACATATATGCTAAAAGTTTATTTGAGAGTTTAAAAAAAATTTTAATATAAACAAATCTATAATATTTTTTTAAAAAATAATTTTGTATAGAATGATAAATTTTTTTTATCATTAACATATTTTTAATTTTTAAAATACTATACCAACAAATATTATATTTGAATAATTTGTCTAAGTCTTTTAAAACACTCAAAATTAATCGTCTAATATATTCTTTTCACTTGATTCTTAAGGTCTCTTCATCATTTTCCTCCAAACTCCTAAATAAAATCTAAGAAAATAATTAGGGACTGTTTGAAAGACTTTTAATTTTTAATTTTTAAAAACTATTTTATAAATCAATTTTAATAAATAAATTTGAATACAAAATATAAAAAAAAAGTTTGATAATTCTACTTTAAAAACAGTTTAAATTTTGCATAGTATTACAAATTTGTCATTAATAAAAAATATACCATTTCATGTTGATTTTAATTTTTAAAACTAAAAATTAAAAATCAAATTCTTTAAAACATATTTTAATATTGTAGTATTTAAAACTTTTAATTTTCAAAAATAACTTTGAAAAATTATACAAAGAAATAAATTTTATTATTATCAAATTTTAAAAACTAAAAAACTATTTTACAAAATCAATAATGCTCCCTAGTATTTTTCTAGAATGTTCTTTCTTTTAAAAAGAAAAATATTCTTTCTATTTTATTCAGTT